GTAGTAGTAGTAGTAGTAGTAGTAGTAGTAGTAGTAGTAGTAGTAGTAGTAGTAGTAGTAGTAGTAGTAGTAGTAGTAATAGTATTTATATAGTGCTTTGAAGTTTGCAAAGTGCTACAGATATATTAGCTCATCCTCATAACAATCCTGCAATGTAGGTGCTCTTATTATCACTATTTAACAGATGAGGAAACTGAGGCAGACATAGCTTAATTGACTTGCCCAGGGTCACACTGTAACTGTGTGTCTGAAGCCACATTTGAACTCATTTCTTATTGACTCTAAGTCAAATCCTCCACAGAACTTTTACATTTGTTTGTTTTACTTAGTTTGTTGTGAACCTCTTATACATACATGTAAGCTTAGTCTTATACAGGGGTAGAAGAAGGGTAAGTGGCAATGAAGGAAAAGGTGATATAAGGGAAAGGCCCTAAACACATGTGAGTTTTTAAAGAAACGTGAACCCAACAGGAAAGAATTCTGAAAAAGAAAGCCAATAGGAAAATGGTCTCTTGTCTCAGGTTCCCAATGACAGGTTTATGTAAAGTGGTAATCCTTTTCAATATTTTGGAAGAGGGCATTCATGTGTTTTATTTAAGGGATTAAAAAAAAAGTTTTCAAGGAAACATTTATTAACAAAAGTACAATAATAACAATACTGCAGTACTTTATAATTTAACTAGCATACTTGCCTTTGGATTATTTGCATCAAATAGACCAGTAGAAAGTCCAATTAGCAATGAATTCTTGCCTTTATTTTTTGCTGGTGAATCAGAACGAGCACGAAAAGACTGTTGTTGTGTAAGATGACTTGATGGAATGAAGGTGGCTTTTTTCAAGGCTTCCAAAGGATCTACTTTGTGAAAAAATGGTTCAGATTGCATAGACTTCTTCAGATTAGGTTCAGGTTGCACAGAATCATCTAAAGCAGGTTCTGTAGCATAAATGAAAAATCAGGCTTCAAGGTCATGTAATATCCTGAAATCTTTGGGTTGGAAGGGATTTCTGAAGTAATCAAGCTCAACTCCTACCCAAATCATATATCCTACTATTAACATCCCTAGTGCCCAAGAAAGAGATAAGTTAAAAAAACCTTTAAAAATATAATGTTAAATATTAACAACATTAGCAAATACGAACATAATCACTTCATTTAAGTAAAAACTCTACCAAGAAAACAAAAAGTATGATGTTTCCTAATTAAGTACTGGGGAAGCAACATGCATATAAATATATACAAAGCAAGCTATATACAGGATAAATAGAAAATAATTAATAGAGAGAAGGTACTGGAATTAAGAGAGGTTGGAAAAAGTTCCCTGTAGGTGAGATTTCTATTGGGACTTAGAGGAGTCAGGGAGGTCAGTAGTCAGAGCAGTGGAGGGAGAATGTTTCCAGACATGAGGGACAGCTAGAGAAAATGCCGAGAGCCTAGAGATGGAATGTTTTGTTTGTGGAACAGCCAGAAGGCCAATGTCTCTGAATTGAAGAGTATGTTTTGGGGAGTAAGCTGTATGAAGACTGGAAAGGTAGGAGGGAGCTAGGTTATGAAGGGCTTTGAATGTCAAACAAAGGATTTTGTACTTGGTTCCTGAGTAGTAAGGGTGACATGACTGGACCTATGTTTTAGAAAAATCACTCTAGTGGCAGAAAGGAGGATGGATTGGAGTGGCGAGAGACCTGAGGCAGACAGACTCACCAGTAGGTTATTGCAATAATCTAGGCATGAGATGATAGCCTGTACCAGAGTAGTGGCAGTGTCAAGAGGAGAAAAAAGGATGTATTTGAGAGATGTTGCAAAGGTGAAATCAACAGGCCCTGGCAACAGATTTGATATGGCAGGTTGGGGAAGGTGAGAGATAGTGAACAGTTGAGGATGACAGCTAGGTTGCAATCCTGAGGGACTGGGAGGATGGTGTTACAGTGATAGTAAGGGAGTGGGAAAAAGGTTTAGGGGGAAAGATGACTTCCATTTTGACACATTGAGTTTAAGATGTCTACTCAACATCCAGTTCGAGATGTCTGAAAGATAGTTGGAGATGCAAGACTGGAGGCCAGCAGAGAGTTTGGGGGAATAAAGGCAGATCTGAGAATCATCAATGTAGAGATGGTAATTAAATTCAGAGGAACTGATGAGATCAACAGGTAAAGTAGTATAGATGAAAGAGAAGAGGGCCCAGCAAAGATCCAGAAATAGAGACAGAGAAAGAGTAGTGAGAATAGGAAGGCAGAAAACCATGAGAGTGTGATATCCCAAAAACCAAAGAAGAGAGTATCAAGGAAGAGAGAGTGATCAACAGTGTCAAAGAGAGGTCAAGGAGAAAGAGGACTGAAAAAAAGGCCACTGCATTTGGCAACTGAGAGATCATTAGTAACCTTGAAGACAGCATTTCAGTTGAACGATAAGGTCAGAAGCCAATAGGTAATGGGTTAAGAGAGTGAGAAGAGAGAAAGTGGAGGCACCTATTGTAGACAGCTTTTAGAGAAGTTTTGCTACAAAAGACACAGGAGATATAGGACAATAGTTATTAGAGATGGAAAGATCAAATGAAGGTTTTTTCAGGATGAGAAGACATGGGCATGATTAAAAGCAATAAGAAATGAGCCAACAGAATGATTGAAAATAAGTGAAAGAGTAGGGATGACAAAGTGAGTAATCTGTGGGATTACAGTTATTCAATTGTAAAACATATATGCAAACCACAACTAAATTTGTATAAGAAATGGTTTGAATGCACTGATGTTTAATTAGTTCATCTTTATTTATACAGGGCAAGGAATCAATGTTTTCTTATATTTTAATTAATACTTTGTTAAAATACTAACTAAATGGCTGTTTAATTTCCTTGCCACATTTGCTGAGTATTATAATATATTGTGGTGTTTCCTAGATATAGCAAAGTAGTTCTACATATGTTTTTGGTAAATGTCACTTTTACACTGCTATTAAAGTTGTCTCAATTCAGGGCCACATAGTAAGATAGTCAAAATCCTGAAGTATAATCCAGGTTTACTGATTTTCCAGGCCAGTGATATACCTATCACATTTGGGAAAAATTAAATACTTTGCTTGGGTTTCTCCTTTGCCCTTTATTACATTACTAGCAAAGTGTTTCGTATATAGTTGGTATTTAAAAATAAATAAATAAACTTAATAAATCTCCGTCTCTCTTATCTACTATAATGTGTATTTGCCATTATGCCTCAGTAGAATATAAGCTCCTCAAGGGCAGGGACTAACCATTTTTGAATGTTTGTCTTTCCTAGTGCCTTGCAGAGCAACATACACTAGTAGTTATTTGATAAGTGCTGGTTTCATTGTGACTGGTGTGGCAATAATCAGTCTTATAAACTACCCAAAGTAAAACAGTTTAGTACCAACCACTCTTTAAAAGGTAATTTAAAAAACAGAATAAGCTGACCTATCTGAACTTTATTAGGTGATTCAATTTCACTCAGATTTCTTCTTTCAGAAGTTGCTTCAAGATCATTTTGTTTCATCGTTTTATTCTCCAAGCTGTCAACACATACAGAAAAGGTTATGATGCATAGAAGAAGTTACTCATATTGTAAAACATACAGTAACTGCCCCAAGCAATATATTTTTTTTAGTATGAAATGAATTTTGGTCTGGCCTAGTGTTATGTAAACTATTGTCCCAGAAAGTCTACTCTTCCCTCCTTTAGGGGAGTAGAATAAAAGACTAGAAAGGCTAGTAGCTTGGTCAAGTGTATCCAGAGATCCAGTGAAATGGGCTTGCTGCTTTCCATAAAACTAAAACATTACTGAGATCCAGAAATCTAAACAATCTGCTAGAAAATATTTATCACTACAGAAAAAAAATGATAAAGTTCATATCTTGTGGACGTGTGCTCTCACCATGATGAGGAATAATGGATTCCAATGGAAAGGAATAGTGATATCTGTTATTGACGTCCTGTGATGACTTTTCTGATGACCAGAGTGCAGCCCATGTCCTCTCTCACCTTTATCTACTACCACACTTCATTTATGTCCATATTCCTCATGCTTTACAGGAAATTGCTCCACATAAGTTGGAGGCTTCCAGCATATGGTTACGTTAGAAAAAAGTTCAGTGGCCAGCTTTTTGCCTTTAATTAGGGAGAGCTGGGATGTAGAGAGTTGGTAAGGAAGTTATCAGAACTGACTTAAATGACCTGGCAGGTGGAGATACTAAACAGCATGGAAGACTGTCAGGGAACAATACACTATGACTCTGCAAGGAGTCCACATGAATGGACTCTATTAAATCATAATTTACATTAAAGTTCTATAAAAATATTAGAATATAAGTATATAGAGCCCTAAAGAAGACCCTTTGAAATACAATGCAAAAACTACTAGGGACCAGGTAACATACTCTGTCTCCTCTGAGTCTCTAAGCCACACCTCGTTGACAGATAAAGGCAAGTCAATATTTTTGCTAGCTTTACTTGATCCTTCCAAGATTTCCGCTTCCAAATCATCAGGTTCTGTAAAAAAATGAAAATATCGCAAGAAATGTATATGAACGAAGTCCCAGAATGAAACACCAGTAAGCCTAGAGAAAACAATATGAACTTCATTGTAACCCATCAGTACTTTTGTGCCAGTTAGTATGTTAATTTACTAGGGAGGGCAAACAAACCATACCAAAGTTAGCTAACTTTCTGAAGTAACAAAATTTCTTTTGCAAATTATCATTGCAGAAGATAGAAGCATAATTTTTTCCAGTTTACTTTTCCTGCTTTTTTCTGCAACATGACTAATATGGAAATATACTTCACATGATTTATGATGGGTATTATATAGCTTGGGGAAACTATGTGGCTCAGTGGATACAGTGCTGGACCTGGAGTTAAGAAGACCTGAGTTCAAGTCTGGCCTCAGACACTTATTAGCTGTGTGACTCTGGGCAAGTCACCTCACCCTGTTTGCCTCAGTTTTCTCATCTGTAAAAAGAAAGGAAAAAAGAAGGAAATGGCAAACCATTACAGTATCTTTTCCAAGAAAACCCCCAAACGGGTCCCAAAGAGTCGTACATGACTAAAAACAACTAAACAACAACTGGATTGTATTGCTTGCCTTGTGAATGAAGGGCTGGATAGAGAATTTGGAACTGAAAACAAAATTCAAAATAAACAAAGGAATAAATTACTTTTCAGCATTGAAAAAACAACAAAAGAAATTACCAATGCACAAAGAAAAAATACTTAAGAAGATTGAATATTCTATTTCTTCCTTTCATCATTTATTATATGTTTATTATCTTTTTCCCTTTAGGAAAAAAAGTCCCGGAAAAATAAAACTGGTTTTGAGGAAGTATAAAAAACTTTCCATAGAAAGTTATTAGAAGATTAATGTTGCCATACTTTTGTTGAACTAAATTTTAGATAATTTGTATTGTTACTAATTAGAGATTTACAGAAAGGTTCAATAGTTCAACTGAGTGCTAGCACCCACAAGTAGCTTTAAGAAACAAAGGAGAGAATCCCATCCATTATGGATAGTAGGGTAAATTATGTGGTGACCTACATTGAGTTTATGATGTTTGTTCTTGCTATTTACGTTTCAAATGTAGGCTAGTTGCCTTCCTAGGAGAAGAGGTGAAAAGAGAGGGAAGCCTCCAGATTGTTAGGGAAGATAAAGGGTTTCCAAAGAAACGTGGAATGGCTTATGTGGGGGAAAAAAGGTGCTGAGGTAGAGGAGAGATGAGCCTTGTGTCAGGATTAAAGAGAATTGATGACTGTTTCATAGAGGAGGAAAAGGAAGGAAAAGGGAACCTGTACAATTAAAGTCCTCCATGCCCATTTCAATTTATTTATTTTTAGTTTTCAACATACACTTCCACAAGATTTTGAGTTCCAAATTTTCTTCCCAACTCTCCTCTCCCCCACCCCATGCCAGCATGCATTCTGATTACCCCCTCCCCCAATCTGCCCTCCCTTCTATCATACCCCGACCCCTTCTCTTATCCCCTTCCCTTCTATTTTCCTGTAGGGTAAGATAGATTTCTATACCTCATTGCCTGTGTATCTTATTTCCCAGTTGCATGTAAAAACACTTTACAACATTCATTTTTAAAACTCCGAGTTCCAAATTCTCTTCCTTTCTCCCTCCTTACCCACTCTCATTGACAAGGCAAACATTTGTCGAACTGATAAGGATTTTCCCCAGAATGGAGTCACAGGTGTTCAATTAAATGATGTTTGTGTTTAAATGCATTTTTGCAGATACTGCACTCATGAGGTTGTTTACTTGTACGTTCACATTTATGTCTTAATAATGAATACTTTTCTGGAATATCTTATCACACAAATCATAGGGATACATTCCATTTTCTGTTTTGATGGTACAGACTCAGAATCATTCTGATCCTCCACATTTGATACTCCTTCTGAGCTAGTGTCTTGCCTTTCAACCTGATTTCCACTTGGCTGGGTCATCTTTGCAGGTGGCTCTTGGACTGGAGGGGCTGACTAAGCAGAATACATATATGCCAGCTGGGGAATCAGGATGGTCTGCTTATTGGCAACAAGTGCTCGTAAGCATAGAACAGTGTTTTGGTCAGCAATGGCAACGATTGCAGGTAACTGGGCAGTGACGCTGGGAATGGCGTTATTTATGGGGTTCGCACTTGGTGGGATCACATTTACAACTGGGTCTGAGTCTGTCTCACAACTGTCCTTTGGTGGATCCTTTTTTGCACATGACAAGTTCAAGGGCTTTTCCTGGACAGAATAAACATTGTCCTGGTAAACAACAGTGACGGTGGATTTCTCCAACAATTCTCCAGGTTGCTTTGGTAACATGGTTCGACTTGTGGCTCTTTGGGGACCCCTTCTGCCATGTACAAGTAATCCTGTGTGTTTCAAGATGAAGAAAGGTTTAGTGGTGATGGGGATGATGTGTGACTTCTGGAGCCATTCAGAGCTAACCCCGCCAGCAAAACGGGAGACTTTGTCAACTGGGACTCTTTGAAGTCGTGTGCTGTCTTGGGGTTCACTGGTGTTGGCAAGTCCTGGTGGATTGTTGGCATTGGCAGGAATGTTCTCTTTGCCTGATTCAGGGGAGGACGGTTCTGAAGGCTGAAATGAAATCTCTCCAGCTTGTATCTTTTCAAACTACTTTTTCACTACATCCAAGGACAGGTTTACTGAATCTGCAATGTTGGAGAGCTCTTCTGCTCTTGGCTGTGCATTTAGAGCACAGTACACTTTGAGGAGAGACAGAAGGTTTTTTAGGGGTGGCTGAATGGGAGACAGGAGGCCTTCTCCAAGGTTTGCCGGGACAAAGGGCTTGGACTTCTCAGCTTTGGGAGCACTGGGCTGAGCAGGCTGCTTTGGTCATAGTGCTTTAGCTCTGGAAGTGCATTCAGATCTCCTGGGCAGTCCTCACACAGAAGGCAAGTGACGTCATCACCCCCCCCCCCCAAATGCTTATCCTTCACAGACTTCACTGTAAGGTCTTTGGGCAACTTTTCACTTTTGCAACTATTGGCGGGAACTGAGTTTTCTTTTTTCAGGTTCTGGGGAACAACCTGAAGCTGACTAGGCTGCTCAAGGCAGTTGATGATGATTTTGGTTGTTCCATCCTGGTCAACCAAAAGACTAATAGCAGATATGAAGGAATGACCACCTGGTAGTATGGCTGGCAAGCTGATTGTTTCTTGATCTTTGGATGCAAGATCAGGATGACTGTTCTCCAAAACTTGCTGCATAACATTACCATCTACCGCCACTTTGAGTACATTTTGAATATCACTCAAGTTAATACTTACGGGAGACATCAAACCTACTGTTGGGAGGACAATAGCTTTCACCACACCTTCAAGAGAAATGGTAGCCTGTAAGGCACTACCACCACTGAAAACCCCATTCCGCAAAGGGGCTGAACAGTTGATTCCTGAAGTAACCACAATGGGCTTGAATTCATAATCCACAAGTTCTATTTTAATTTGGTTTGCTGGAAATTGTTGTTGCAAGGGCTTGTTTTCAATCTTCTGCCATATCTGAGGCTTCATGGGATAGCGTGGTAATGCCGACAGAGGACGGGAGGAGCACTGTGCTGGCTTGAGCCCTATTCTTGACCAGATGTGCACAGGCATCAAACCAATACAATTTTTACTCTTTTACTGCACATCTAGCTTCCTCTGCCTGAGCTTCAGGCCCCAGGATTTCTTTTCTTTCCTTTCCATCACCTTCTCAGCAACTGCTGGCACTTCCTTCCTGTTCATGGCTTTCTGGTAACACTGTCTAGTCTGTTGGCAAATCATCTTCTGGCACACTAGCATCACAATCCCCTGTCTACAAAACTCTCAGTTTCTCCTCTACTTCTCTTACTTGCTTCTCAGAATCCCTTTTGAGCTCTTCCAAGGCCTGGGACTGATTCATATTTTTCTTGGAGGTTTTGGATGTAGGAGCTTTGGCTTTGTTGTCTTTTTCTGGTTGTATGTTTTGATCTTCTTTGTCACCAAAGTAAGATAATTTAGTCTGACTCTTTTTGTGCTGCTTACTCATGATCCCAGCCAATTACTTGAGTTTTAAACTCTTTGTTAAGGTAAAAGTCTGCTTCCAATGTGGAGAATGTTCTGTCCCAAGCTTCGGGGGTTTGTACAGCTGTTTTCAGAGATACTTCTAGGGACCTGAAAATTTTCAGTTCTTCCAAGGTGCTATGATAAGGGGTGAGGTGTTTTCTCTCTACCGCCACAAGAAGCTTCACCACACCAGCATTCCTCCTTATCCCAGGACCGCCCCTCAGAACTGTGACCCAGAACCAAGCATCAGTAAAGCAAGAGATCCCTGCAATCCCCCTCTGATCAGCCACTCGACTCCCCCTCAGTCTGTGGGCTGAGAGCTCAGGAAACAGCCACCGCCCCGGGGGCAGCTGAGATCTAGCTCCTTCTCTCACCTCAGTCCCAGACTTTTTGCACTGACCTTCCAAGTTGTCTTTGGTGTTTGTGGGTTCAGAAGTCTGGAAACTGCCACAGCTGCCCATGATTCAGCCCTCTGAGGCCTGCTCCAGGGTTGTTGCGGCCTGCGAGCCCATGCCGAACTGCGCTCCTCTCCCAGCCCGGTGTGATATACCTTTCCGATCAACTATCCAGGCTGTCTTTGACTGGAAATTTGTTTCACTCTGTCTTTTTATGGGTTCTGCTGCTTCAGAATTTGTTTAGAGTCATTTTTTATAGGTATTTGGAGAGGTTTGGGGGAGAGCTCAAGCAAGTCACTGCTTTCCCCCACAATCCCCTGTCTAAATGCTTGAGTCACCTCCTCCCCATCCCTCTCCCTTCCTACCCCTCAACTCTCTGCCTCCACTCCTCCCAGTTCTGTATTTGAAAGTCAGTTTTTCTATTTAGCTCTGACTCCTCAAGAATGCATTAAATTCCTCTATGTCTTTGAATATCAAATTTTCCCCCTCATTAATTACACTCAGTTTTGCTGGGTAAGTGATCCTGGGAACTCTGAAATTTGGCTATAATTCTCCCGGGAGT